TAAATATGATCATATTATTTATTTTATAATATGTAATATGATTTCAAACTAAATAATGATGTATTTTGGTATAAAATTGAATAAACTGAAAACCAATATATAAACCAAATCAAACTGAAGTAAATATGGATTTAGAATAGTAGTTATATTTTAATAACCAAAATACGGAAACCCGATATCCAGATTGAACATTCTTAATTTAGATGAAACCGAACTTTTGTTTCATTTTCCAAAACATAATAAAAATAATAATTTCATCCCGCACAAGGCGCGGGTCTTATCCTAGTCAGAAAGTAATTGAGAAAATATTCAGAAAATGTGAATTACTCTTATTTCATACACCAATACCATTAAAACAGGATCACTCATTTTAATGAAATTTTTATTTTTTCTAAAAATACCCTTAATGATATGAACAAAATTTTATTTTCATTAATGGCACTATGGTCTTTATTTTTGGGCCTACAAAATTATATAATTTGTACAAACAATATATATCTAATGAGTTGCTTAATGGGCTATAATCTCTTTCAAAATAGTTTTGAATATTCTTACAAAAATAAAGCGTATCAGCCTTAATAAACAGTTTTTCAGGTTTATAAAATTTTGATAACAAAATTTTCTTAAAACCAAATCGGGTTACATATAAAGTCATCAATTTTGTCGGTTTAACTACGAGTCCAAATTATTTTCAGAACACTGAATATAACGCTTCATGTGTAACATGTAAATGTTGATACATAATCAAAAATACAAATTTATATCATATAAATTTGGTTTGTTTCAAAAATATTTCTGCACTTTGAACCAGTAGCCGAGTCCCAGGTTTAAGGGAGATTTTTGGAGGTTTATAAAAAATTTAATTAGTAAGCTTTTTTTTAAAAAAAAAGAAAAGCCAAACCGGATTACATATGAAGTCATCAGTTTTGTCGGTTTAACAACGGGTCCAGATTGTGTTTCATAACACTGAATATAATGGTTCATGTGTAATATTTAAATTTCACATTTAAATATATATACATATTCAAACATGCAAATTTATAGCATATAAATTTGATTTGTTACGAAAATAATCCCGCGCTTTAAAAGCGCGGGTCAAAATCTAATTTTTGTTTAAAGTATGGAAGTTTGTCAATGTAACTATAGATGCTAACTTTCATGGCATGTGGCTTAGTCTTTTTCTTTTTTTAAGACTGGTTAATTATGCATTACAAATTATTAGAAATATTACATAGATGATATTATAGCCAACAATTCTACCTGTCTTATTCGGAGTCACGTCTGACTGCATCATCCTGAGCTGCCCTATAAGATCAATTTTTGACGGCACACCTTGCGCCATGCTAAAGATCTTTTGTAAGCTTTTTTCCAATTTGCATAATTTGTCACTCACTTTCTCCGGGAATTTAAACCCTCTTAGTGTAGAAACTGCATAGACTGAGATTCGAACCCCAGACCACTAGGCTACGGTGCTTCCACGACATGTAGCTTAGTCTATAAGCGCATCAATTATCAAACTAATATTGTAAATATCATTACGCCATATAGATCTTGAGAAACCATATAGGTTCTATAATGCAGTAATGCACTATAAATAAAAAAAACTTAATTTTTAGTTAAAACTTTATTGATTGTAAAGTTAAAAAGTTATTTTATCATGACGATTAACCATTTATTTTCATAAGATATGAAATATGTAAAAACAAAATTGTTTAAAATTCAAGTTTAATTAAGTCTTTATCCATTATGCATTCTCTCACTACTAATAACCATCCCATATATATTTTGGATATTTAAAATCTACCAAATTTTGATAATCAAACACGATTTACATTTATATAACATGATCATATTATATATATTAAAGATAAAAATAAATGTTTAATAAATCGGATGTATCCCGAGAAAATATCTAGTCTAGCTATAATGAATACAAATTAATAAAATATATTGTTTAATGAATAGTTTTTTGTCATCAAACAACTTAAATTTATGATAAGTCTGTAAACTAAACCGGTAACTATGTAACGACAGTTGTATTCTAGAGTGCAAGCCTATCTAACCGTGAATTTTGTGTGTTTAGGTACATGAATGATTGTTGAGTTGGGGAAGCTTTCCTTCAGAATCTTGATGTCTTCTACATAACTTGCAAAATTGATCATTCTTCTGGTTCTGAAACCATCTTTATCAACTGAGAAAAATACGATGCAAATGTAACCTGAAACTGACATAAATTCCACATGCATTCCATCGACCAAATAAGCACTTCCACTTCCGAGTGAAGGGGTGAAAAACTCGCCTTTATAACCCTTGCTCCATCAAACCACCAAAACTTCTAAAGTACTATACCAATCTTATCCTGAGTAAATCTCATGATTTTTCCATTACTCATCCGTAAAACACCATCTTCCAGGAATGGTTGGTAAGTTGATGACCTCTACCTATGTATTTTTGGAAACCCTTTGTGCCAATAAAACATGTGCTTCAGCCAACAATAGAGACTCCGTTTCTGCCAGTTTTAAAGTATCCATGGGGGTCACAATCTATGCTACTGAGAATTTTATTGGTTTCGTTTCTTCCCGATGTACTATAATATCCAAGCAAATTGATGATCCTCCATCTATGAAAAAAATCTCCAAAATAAATGATCATATTCACGAAGAGTGGTTGATTATGAAAAATAATTGGATTCGATGGGATGTTTGAGAACGCCCAAACTTGGATCGTTGGTGAACATTCAAAAAACACATGGTTTATTGATTTCTTCGGTGTCCACACCTTGCACAACATATATCTCCCTGCATCCCTCTCGCTCTTAATATTTTCTTACCTACAATGCATCCTGACACTATT